GACGTCGCTGCGAGCAAATTACGTAATTTTGGGAACATCAAAGACACCAGGGTTTCTCCTGCCGCCATCTTTAAATGAGTCTTTGGAGTTTAAAATATTAGTAAGCTGTTTAGCAATAGAATAAATGCTGCTGACAATAGGTCTGAGTGGTGTTCCTTCCTGGTGAATGTTTGGAAGTCCTTAAAAGCATGGAATGTCCTCGCCTGGATGTAATCTGAAATAAACTGAAGGGTTAATTATCTTGTCTTTTTCTACTTGTTTGAGGTAGTCTGTGATTTTGTTTTGTAGGTGTGTTGGTATCTTTTCAAACGTGTTGGTGTCACTCAGTAGATTGAGAATCATGTCCTGGTAATCTGAACTGTTGAGGACGGCGGTGCATCTTCCTTTGTCTGCTAGTATGCTGCTTTGGTCTTGGCTAAGGGACGTTATGGCTTACTGTACTTACAACTTTCGCCACTGTTCTTTGCTATTTTTTTTTTTTTTTACTTCGAGCACAGGGCAGCTTTATAGGGCTTGGTTTGATTCGCAATGAATCATTGGATACCCAAGGCTACGGAGGATACAGCGGACCCGTCCTTCAAATGTGCATAACGAAGGACAGATTTTCATAATGAGGAGTCTGCCAATCTGAACACGCCACGCTGCGCTATGATGTAATCAGCCACCGGATCTCTGGAGGATGCAGCCGCTGGATTCAAACTCGGTTATTGATTCTGGAGGAACGGAGTTTATGACCAATGGTAGGTCTATAGGAGCAGATCATTTGTACACACCTCCCTCTGGTGGGGGAGGTGACGTTTGCTCCAACTCGGCAGTTCCTAAATGCTTTTTTAATAAAATATAATTCCTACTGATGCAATATGGGTGAAACTTCTGTCGGAACATCTCTGCACACTTTGGCTTTATTTAACACTACTTTACTGAAAATCTGATGATTTATAACTGAAGAGGACTAAAAATTGGAACTGAATTTAAATGGAAATGTGTTACGTGGTAATTGGAGGAAAGTTCAGAAACTTTATGTCACAAAGCTTTTAACAGGGAGGAATGCCGGAAGAGTTTCTGTGGTGCTGAATGTTAAAGTACCTTCTCTTCAGCTCATCCATCTTTTCTGATGGAACCATTGTGTTTCCAAACTCGTTGAGGTTTGGGAAGGACTGGAAGACTTTCAGCTGCTGCGGCATCTCATCCAAACAGATCTGCAACACCAGAAGAACACACCATGATCGACTTCTACCCCAAGAAGTGATCGACTTATCGACAATTTCTGTTTTGTTTTGTTTTTTGACCTTCTTTCACACGTTTTATCATGGATTTCAAGAGAAAGATGCTTATTTATTTATATTTTTTACATCTGAATCTATTGTTTTTTTAAAGATTAGATAAACCCTAAATCAACTTCTTTGCAGATCAGCTGTAGAAACAGGAACCTAGAAATGTTATCCTAATGCTACTGCACAGGTTTTGACAGTTTCCAGGAAATTGTCTAATTCTGCAACATTTGGCCTTGAAGTTTCTTAGTGCTGCCCTCTATGGGTGGAAGCATAGCAACAGCAACTAAGTTTATTGCTCCTACTGCTAAGAGCACCACAGGCCGGCGTTTCAGCAAAAGGCCCGGGGCTGTAATGTCTGAGCGGACGGCATTCCAGCTTCCTGTCTAGAGCTCCCTCCCTCTGAGACGCGCCGCCATGGGGGTCAGGAGGAGCATTCTACAGGTGAGTATTTAAGCGAGCTTAGACCATCACTGTAAACACTTAGGTGAAGAAGTTACATCAGATTTCTTGTCCATATTCATCCTCCTGACCACATTAACCCACCATTGGCCATGTGTCCTTTTCCAGGGATTGTTTGGGTTAGGATTAAGCTTTATAATAGGTTACAGTTTAAACAACCATAGCTGCTGGATTATTCCTCCCATTCATTCATTTTCTCTTTATTTGCTGGTTTACATGAAGACAAAAAGGCAAAACCAGAAGAATAGGGAGGAAAGTATTGTTTCTACAGCTGAATGCTGCAGAGGCCATTTTGAACCTTTCAAAATGGCGGAACCTGTCCCAGATGGTCCATCCCTCCAAGTCTGCATCAAAGAATGGATCCTTTACCTTGAGCAGCTCTTGTTTCTCTCTGGCTTCATCAGCGGCACGGCCGTGATCCGGGGGCTCCCCCTGTTCCTCCGCCAAAGCTCCTTCTGCTTTAACCAACCACTGAGCTATGGTGTCCAGGGGGGCCGGGAGACTCCGGTCTAACTCAGCTTTGTATTCTTGCAGCTGGGTGTAAACACAGAACATAAAGCCCATTACACTTTTAGCCCATTACTCTTGTAGTCTCCCGCTTTATCCGGGACCACGTTGCTCTTTAACGGTAAACTACAGATATTGTTCGAAGAAAGTAAGACTTAACAGATTTCTGTGCAACTGATTTAACAGATTAGGAATTAAGCATTTGTTAGACGTTTTCTTCTTAGTGTTTTTTTCAGTTTTTTAAAGGAAGTTTGGAATCTAGTGAATTCATGAGAAGCAAGCAGAACCTTTTGATTGAGGGATTCCCAGGCTTCCCTCAGAGCCTGCTGCTGCTCGCTCAGCTTTGGGGCTCGTTTCATGGAGGTCAGCAAAGGCATGATGGGCCGGCGCTGCTCATTGAAAGACACCAGGAAGGTCTGGAAAACCTGAAGAAAGCCAGTCTGCATCAGTCACTGTGATCGTATTTTAACCCAAATCAACTACTTCAGAGTAGGAGGTCACTGCATGTCCACAGACTAAACGTGGTCAGCTGATTTATCAGATAAACAAACACACAACAGCTCATATTCAGTTGAAGAAAAAAAACTAACCTAAAACTAAGCCTCCTATCCTGTGCTGCCCCTAAAGAAAATCCAAGTCCCCTCATTAATAAAAAAAAAAAAAAAAAAACTTACTGTTCCTAATCAGGATCAGGATGGACGGATATCCAATGTTTACCCAATTTCCTTTCCTTTAAACTCTAATTTTCTTTAATCCCAAACATAAGCCTGTTTTAATTAATAACTGTGACTTGATTGAGGTAAAATGTGAACACTTTAAGGGGCGTGAATACTTTTTACTGCGGCCTTCAGACTCACATGGTATCGCTCAGAGTAGCTTTCTCCTTCTGTGGAGTCCCATCCTTCCAACAGCTCATCATAGGCCTGAAGAAGCCAGCAGGTCACTTCCTGCGCCTTTCGATCCGGCGTCGCCTGGAGCCATTAAAGAGAAAACAGAAACAGATCAACAAACAATAATAAGGGCAAAGCAAGACAACACGTTTATGGCAGTACAAGTTAGATGTAGTGAGTGATGTGAACCATTCTGGCTGATTTAAAGCTCTAACTTCTGCAGAGTAACGCACCTAACTTGCACTAACAGGGCAACTAGTTGAATGGATCCTGGTCATTAATATTAACAGAGAACTCTACAGGGCAATGAGGTTCGGTTTACAGACAAAGAATTCACTGAACAGCCCAACTACTGTCCAGCCTCTAAGGTTTTTCTTTCAGGTTACTGTTTCCCAGATTCTAGAAACAAAGCTGTGGATCAACAACTGAATAATCAGATTCGGTTGGAAACATCCATAAAGAAAACTTTACCAGGAGATATTAATCTGAAAAACAGAAAAGAAGGGATCTAAGAACTGAGCCTTGGGGAACATCTTTTCTAGGTTTGGAGGACTGCAGCTGGACTTTTTATTGCAAAACAAACTATATTTATAGAGAAGAATTAAAAAGTCCTGCAGACTCTGAGGCATCGAGTCAAAGAGACATTTACCAAAGAACCTCATGAAGAAGCAACACTAAACATGAGAATAATATAGGATTACAGAGACATTTGTTTAATATCTATAAATAATAAAACCAACCTTTAATCTGAACAGTTAGCAGCTCTAAAGGTTACTTCACAGGAAACACAAATCTGACCAGTTTTCTGGCTATATTAGCTGGACATTTCAACCCTTTTCACAGCTGTTCTGGATTAACAGTAATTAATTCAGTGAACCTAATGTTGGGATCAAATGTCAATAACATAACCGGAACGACTCCCCCCCTGAAGGCACACCCCTCCAACGGAGTTTAAAAAACAAGAACTTCATGGTCAAATTTCTGTTAACGGTAGCCCCATAGCTGCTAATTGCTTTCCTACGATTCAGAAGGAGCTGAATGTACTGTTTTTGTTTTTCTTCCTGCGATTCAAACCTAGTTGTGTCAGGAATCCAGTTTGTGTGGTCTATTGATTTGTGTTTGTCTCTCCCTCTACCACCAGGTGGCTTTCTGTCCTCGTTGGCCCTCCTGCACACCTGCGGCTCGTTGGTTAATCACTGGGGAGTATTTGAGCCGTTGACTGCCACTACCTCGTGGCCAGAGTGTTTGACAGTTTTGGGTACTCTAGCCAAGCTGAGTTTAGCCGAGTCTAATCTGAGTTTTGTTTCTCTGACACTGTTTTTGTCTTTGCCTTTGGCAGGACATCTTCCTGCATACTGGATGTTTGGCCTTCTCCCCCTGGAAGGATAATCTGTGTTCACACTGAGCAGGGGAGAAACCTCCACATGTGCTGTTCAAGTTCTGTCCGCTCTCCAACGAGTCCCCTCTTCACTAGACCAACCCACACTGACTGGATTCGAAGAGAGAGAAGAACCCCCCCAAACTTCCGGGTTCACCAGCCCTCTGAGTACCAGATCCAACCCCTCAACCCTTACCACAATAAACCTGTTAAAAAGTTGCCATGCTGTCTGAGTGGTTCTCTTGCATTTTGGGTCAGATCACTTAAAAGCAAGTTGAACGCAGTGTTTCCTGAAACCGTGTTAGCTTATAGCTAATGCAACCGTCTTGTTGATTACCATAGGTGACATAGATATATCATGTCAATGTTGGGTATGTTTGTTTTCCTCACCTTCCAGCCTACAAAACAAAATTACCGCCCATCATCGCCACATTTGGAGAGGTTTGGAGACACTGATCACTCCAGAAGTTAAAGTCCCATATTTCTAGAACTGTTATACCTAAAAGTCAGAAATGTTCTGCAGTTGTTGACATAATGCAGAATTAATGTAAAACAATGACACATGCCTTTTCTCAGGCATGTCTCTTTTACTGCTATTCAAAATAGACTTATTATTTGTGAGAAGGAATAAAACCAACTTTGAGTCATGTTTAAACTGATGCAGTTTAGGCTGCGTTTTAGTCACACAGTTTAGATTTAAATTTTCTAGAACTAGAAGGCTAGCTTCCAAATTATGCAACCACCCTTTTATTTTGGACAATTCCTTAGTTATTTGCTTTTCCATGTGGTTCTGCAAGAAGGCGAGGAATACTTAACAGGTGGAGGTCTAGTGTATTTTCATATGCCTGTACTCTATTTCCAGCTAAACAGACATGCAGGACATTGGTTTGTTTTGGTCTATTTGTGGATAATAATCAGTTTATATTCAGGTCTCCTTAGTTTTTTCCACTGAAGGTGCCAGAGACAATCTTGTGAGTGTTATGGTTTCTATTTAGAGGGGGGTGGGGGGGTTAAATCAGGTTTCATGGTGCATGTTTTTTATGTCAGTGTATGATGTGTGCCCTCCTAATGAAACAGCATGATAGCTTCATGAAAACTATAAAGGTTTTTGAGAAATCTTTTGTTGTTTCAGGGCTTTAAAAAAATACTTTTGATAGAGGAAGACGTTAATTGAGAATCTTCCAAGCAGCTGATCTAAAATATAAACTAAATCATCTAAAAAGGTTCAGTCCAAAAAGTGAAGGTAGTTCCCAGCCAATCAGATCGCTGCTGCTAAATCTCCTGATTGGTTTTCAGTCAGACATGTTCAGCTGCATGATTGAGAAACAGAAGAAAGGATGAACGGTGTAGAGGACAGAGGAGGCGGGGCCAGTTTGCCCTACCTGCCGTAGAGGTGAAGCAGAAATAGCAGGAGTGTAGTGAACAGGCAGGCTGACAGGTGAAGGGCTTTTAGGAGGAGTCAAGATCTGTGTCTGAGGAGGAAGGAGAAGAAGAAAAGAGGTGAAAGGAGGACATTTTAAAGAACATCTCAAAGGAAGACCCGGGTTTAGTCCAGCGGGATGCAGATAAGAGAAGCAGATAGACACTGACCTGCATCTCCTCCTCTTGGGCCGGCACATCTCTGGAGTACTGCAGGAACTGAGCCACGTAGGTCATGATGGACTTCTCATCTGGATCTCTGACATCTACATCTGGATCAAGATCACAGAGCTCCATAATCAGCCCCACTGCTCCACCAACCCCACAATCAACACCATAACTGCTCCAGAGGCATGAGGAGGTAATGCTGTTAGGAACAAATCTGTGGAGGGGAAGGCTAATTCCTTTAAAAAATCCCCAGTGTGTCTGTGGTCATAAATCAGCAGGCGGCACAGAGAAAACAAATGAGGGATTCATGTAAGCAGAGAGTCAGCAGACGTCTTACGCGTCATCCAACTCTCCCTCAGGATGTCCCGGTTAGAAACGCTGTGGAACAGCCACTGGTTTAGCAGCACTGAGATCATTCAAAATATCACCTAAACCAGTTTCACAGCCTGGCAGCTCAAACATGTAAAACCCTCCAACGATTTGGTGACGAGGCTGATAGCTGTCTGTAGAAAACAACTAATACATCAGATGTTAGGCCCTGCATATCGCTGCAGGAGTTAGGGCTATTCATGTACCACTGTACAGAGGGTGGTGATTAGGGTGATGGTAAGGAGGCCGTCCAACCTCAAAGACTCCACTACAGAAATATCAAAATGCTTTCATGATTAGAACAGTTTGATTTTACTACATAACAATTATAATAACACACTGATATGTACCATGGAGGTCATACCAGTTTGGACCAGTCATTATGAAGACAAAATGCAGGAATAAAAGTGAATTATTTTGCAGCTTTTACCGTTCTTATAAACAAAACATTATTGTCTTCAAGTCATCATCATGACTGTGAGAGCTGGCCTAATTGCTAATTTCATTCACCTGCCTAACGGCCTGGTTTCCAATTATCACTCATCTAATCCACCTGCTCCTGCTTCCTTACATACAGCTCAGTCCCAGCTATCGGGGCCAGATTATTGAGTTTGTGATTACTGAGGATGGAGATTATTGCTGAGGTTGGAAATTACTGCTGATTCCATAGTTCATGTTCTCGTTCTGGGGCCAGTGGTGATAGAGACTTTTTTAACATTTCATAATGGTCCTGATTTCCTGATCCTGATCTGCCACTGAGTGTGCCCTGTTCCTGTTCTTGGCTCAGTGGAGAGAAGTTTTTAGGGTAACGTAGTGTTCCTGATATCCTGCCTTGTTCTGCCTCTGAGCCACTGAGCCTGCCTGTTCCCATTTGAATGTTCTGCCTGAACTGTTTGTTCCCACCTAAAACAGAACTGTTTGTTCTGTTTGGTGGGCTGTCTACAGCCAATGCAGATCTACAGCTGCTTCTGTTTTTCTGTATTTTAATAAAAGCCTTTGAATTATACCACTGTCTATTGGGTCCTTCTATCCCACCTCTGACACTTTAAGGATCTTTGAACTTAAAACTTAAAAACTTAAAATTAAAACAACACACTTGTCTTTTCTACACGTAGGCAGGACCATGTGTTGATTCCAATACCTTTTCAGTGTTTTTCGACCCTGTCTTTATCCTAACCCTGAAAATAACCCTAACCATAACTAGTGCATAGCTTACCATACACTTAAGGTTGGTGATCTTTACATCTAAACCTAATTTCATAGCTTTAGTTTAGTCCTCCTCTGAGGACCCATCTAAATCATAACATTGTGGGATTAAAACCTAAACCTGAGGTCAGCAGAGTTAGATCAGCTTAATTAACCTCGGATGAAACAGATTTCCGGTGCCTACTTCTGTCATGTTTCAATTTTGGCCTGGCTATCACCTCCTGTTATTTCCCAGCACCTCCTCCTCTCATACAGCTCAGCCTCACTCCCTCACCAATTAGTCACTCCTGTTAAGCACCAGTTAGTCAATACCCACTCCACCTGCCAGCCTTTCTTCAAAAACCTCCCTCAGTTAGCTCTTCCCTGCTGGTTCGTATTCAGTCACTACCAACCCAACACCTTGTCAGTCAGGTTCTGTGCTTCTGTTGCTGCACTGCTGGATCTTTTGCCTTCTGCTCTGTGAACTCTCTCGTCTGCACCTGGGGATTTACAGCAGCTCAGCGTCTTCTAGAATACTCTCTGTGGTCCTCTGGATTTATGCAGACTCTGCTTCACCAAGAATGCTCTCTGTTGTCCTGCAAATTACAGAAGCCTTTGTCTCTCCAAGAACTCTTGCTGTTTCCCTATGGATTACTGCAGCTGATGCTCACTCTGTGCTCATCTCAAACCACTGCAGCCATGCATTCTATGGACTCTCTATCTACTGCTTTCCTGGTTGCTTCCGCAGCACCACGTCCAAGGAAAACTCCCTCCAGCTGCTCCTTCGGTTCAACAACAGCCCTGCATCTCCAAGTACTCTCTCCGGTTCTCCAGGTTCCATCTACACCTCCAGTTCTAGTCCGGTACAGCCTCTGGTTACCTTCATCCACAACTCATTACTTTCAATAAACCTTCAAGACTAGCTCCATGTGTGTGGTGTGCATTCTGGGTTCATCAAAGAATGCACCAAATCCCCAGATGTTGTTCTCGCCCCGCCCTCTTTATCGAGTATGCATCAGAGCAGACTTGTCTGTTCTTGAGATTGAGAGCTGTCCCAGCATGCACTGCGACTGCAGCAGCTTTCAATGAAGCGCTCCATTGAAAGTAAAATGTTCTCTTAATAAAAGTACTTTGAGGAGAGAATATTATTATTATTATAAAGCGTCATTATATGGTCCATTTAGTGATTTAATGCGTAAATTTAAAAAAAGATTTCCGAAAGTTGAGAGGACCGTGGCAACAAGCAGAGCTTGTTGCAGCTCTAGAAGAGCCTAGCGTGTGGTGACGTCAAGAGTACGCTTCTGTTCTAATTGACCCATATCTATGCTGCATGCTCGCATTCTCGCCAAGACCGGACTTTCCTGTGTTCTTGCCAAGAAAGAACTTGACAAGAACGCGAGTCAGTACTCACGTTCTCATGAACGGAGAAACGGCCCTGGTCTAAGGATAACACTAGAAGCTGTTTTAGCTTCAGAATGACAGCAGGTTGCGTCAGAGTAAGCAATACCCACATGGACATAAAAAACTGAAGATCAGAGTGGCTTAAGCTGCGATAGGATCATTTCAGTGGCACAGCTGATCCATATTCCTCTCAGATAAGAAAATTCGCTCTGATCGTTAGTTCATGAGGATGTCATGGTTTCTACTGACAGTTAATGCATTTCAACAATTTCATGAGAAAGTCTAACTGTAGGTACTTACCATCGGGGTCCAAGAGTCTAGGAATCTTTAGCTCCATCTCTGCCATGTGGAAGGCCTCCTCCAGGTTCTGCTTGTTGGTCCTGGTTCTGGCTTTGGACAGATTGACCAGGTTGGGTCTGAGAGCATTCAGGATGGCGAGAAACAAGACGCCGCTCCTCCAGCTCGCCTTGAAGTCCTTTATGCTCAGGGTGCAGCCAGCTCTAAAGAAAAAAAAACTATGCTTTAAGGTTTACTTTAAAACAAAAAACATTCAAACAAGGATTCATAGCAGAACTAAGGAGAAAGTCAAAATTATTACAGCAACAGCCAGCGGTCCCGTTTCAAACTAGTTCAGCTGCTTCAGATTTTTGGTCAACATGGCGAGGAAGATCACCCTCCACACATTCACTGATAAACAACCATCGTCTTACCTGTGGCACTGCTCCCGCACCCAGAGCAGCAGAGCTTTCTTTGCAGAAACCCTAAAGCGGCTATGTAGAGGAGAGCCTTTAGCAGGAACAGGGCTGCTGCTGGCCGAGCGGCTGGAGAGCGTGGAGCGAGTGTCCAAACTGGCCAAAGACTCCATGGACGACTGGCGGGAATCAAAGGAGAGGCAGCTGGCCAGCTCCTCGATCTGGGAAAACAAAAACAGTTCAGAAAACCCAGAGAACATTCAAAGGTTTGCCTAAAAGCTCCTACTTTGCTGTAACACACAGGAAATAAGGTGTAATAGAGTGAAGAAGTAAACCTACATGATACTGAAGGATGATGGTCCATATGAGGCCCAGAATGATGGAGGGTTTACCTTCAATGATGTCAGGAATGTTTATGTTGACCAGTTTGACCTGAAGACACAGGCAGAGCATCTTTATTTTGTATGTCTATAAAACTACTGTACATTGATTCAACTTTTTCTATGGAAATTGACAGCATCATGAAGAAATGTTGGACCCTTTTTCACTCTGGTGTTCAAAACATCCATCCAGCCCAAAGTTATGGACATAGTTTAGATTGCAGTAAACTGGTATCCAGATTCCAGTTAATCTAGCACTGAAGAGATAAAACATTTACTACTTTAAAAATACAATAAACCCAAAGGGTAATGAGATGTTGCCATAACTTATTGGCTTTTTGTTTAACCACTTGTAGATTTTGGTAGTTCTAAGCAGGGATGATCTTCAGTAGAGGTCTGTCTTTGATTGGATCTGGAGAAGCCTGATGAAGAGGATGCTCAATGTTGTCCTTCATCTTCTTCCTTCTCTGTGAAATCATCTGTAGAGGAGAGCTGGCCTTCTTTATCAGCTGCTTGAGCTTATTTCAATCATTAGCTCTTATGATGATGATTATGATGATGATGATGATGATGATGATGATGATGATGATGATGATGATGATGATGATGATGATGATGATGGAGGAAGAGATCAGACTCTCCACAGCAGAATAATAGAAGATCTGCTGCATCTAAAGGACCTAAGCTTCCTCTAGAAGTCCAGTCTGCTCTGTCCCTTCTTGGAGACGGCTTCCCAGTTGTGTCTCAAGTCCAGTTTGTTGTCCAGGTGAACACCGAGGGATTTCTACTTCTCCACCACCACCACCTGTTAACAGGATTTAACTTCCTGTTTCTTCTGAAATCTCCAATCAGCTCCTTGTTTTGTAGACCTTCAGGATCAGATGATTGTTTCCACACCATGCCATGCCACCATGTTCCAATGGCTACAGATTCATCCTAGTATTTCAGCAGATGACAGGACTCTGTCTGGTCCTGGAAGTCAGAGGTGAACAGAGGAAAAAGGAATGGAGAGAGTACCGTCCCCTGTGGTGCTCCTGTGCTGCTGGATCAGACAGCTGAGCCTTCAGTCTAACAACCTGTGGTCTGTTTGTCAGGTAGTCATTGATCCAGGTGATTGTTGATGCCTCCACCTGAGTCTGCTGGAGTTTCTCTCAAAGTCAGTCAGGCTAAATGTGGAGAAATTAAAGACCATGACCCTCGCAGTGCTGTCTGCCATGTCTAAATGACAGTGGGTTTGTTGAAGCAGGTTGATGATATCATCAACTCCATCTCCATGGCGATAAGCAAACAGCAGGGGGTCCTGATAACTGCTGGTTTGCTTGCTGAGGTGAACCAACAGAAGTCTCTCTAGGACCTTCAAGATGTGGTTGTCAGGGCAGCGGGTCTGTAGACACTGAGGACTCCTGGCTGAGTCTTCTTTGGTCCTGGAACAAGGCAGGAGGTCTATAGTCACTGAGGACCGCTGGCTGAGTCTTCTTTGGTCCTGGAACAAGGCAGGAGGTCTTCCACATCAACGGAGCTGTCTCCAGGGTCAGACTAAGGAGGTAGATAAGGGAGATGATGGTGGAGGATGTAGGGGTCCTGATCCTTATGGTTAGGCTCTGTTATCCACTGAGAGAGGAGGGACTTAAACGCAGAGCTGAAATCAGCAAACTGCCTCCTGGTGTTTGAAGTTGGGGGTTTCAGTGTGAAGGCAGTAGAGCAATGCTGGTCATGGTAGGAATAATTTAGATCTAGGAACTATTTCAGTGGTTTACGGTCTTAGTGAGCCCTGCAGGAGCTCCTGGACACAGGATCTAGCAGCTTCATTGGTCATTGGCTGGTCAGCCGCATCAAACAGCAATAAATCAGAGATTAATACTAAATCTGGACCATTGACCTGCATGGAACCATGTTCTAATATTTCATCCTGTGTTTAAAAGAAGGCCCTCCAGACGACAGGTTGATTTCAGCCATTGGACCTTTTGGCAACAATCTAATGGGTCTATGAGGCTTCTATAAGGTGGAGCCATTGTTTCCAAAAACTGTATGCTCTGGTCACTGCCGGATTAATCTGGAGATTAACCATGATGACACAGATTAGCACCTAGATCAGCATTTCTACTCTACATCTGAGTTAAATGACCTGGGGATCGCTACTTTTTCTGTTTTCAGCAGAATGTGTTTCATGTTACATGTCCTCTCAGTGACACCAGTAAAGTTTGTATTCTTGAAACTTAAATGAGTTTAATACGTTACCGATTTTTTCTTCAGAAAGGAAAGTGCTTTCTCAATGTTGCTCCTGCTCTGAAACATCCCTCGTCCTTTGTCCCGATTCTGAAAAACAAACCCACCGAGTCAACAGGTGGCTTAGAGCGAAGTCTGGCTTTGAGGGGGTGGAGTTGCGGTGGTACTCACGATGCGCTGACCGCTCATCACCTCCAGTAGATCCAGCAGCTTAGAGCCATCACGGAAATCATGGAACAGGTCTCTAATCTTAGATGGCGGCCTCCGCTGTCACAACGCAAACAAACATGTTTTAGACATTAGAGCTGAAGTCTTCCAGCTCTGCACTATATTTCAAACATTTGGAAAAGAAAAACTGAAAGACAAAGAATTTAAATAGAATATCTACTTTAAAATGAAAAAAATAAGTGGGTAACAGATCCACAGATAGAGAAGAAAGATTCAAAGGAAATTCAGTGTTTATGTCAGAAGTGAAGCTGCTGCTGTTTTATTGCTAAAACTGATCCCATCTGGAAACCTAATGGGTTCTTGAAGCGAGGAAAAGCAGATCAGGAATCAATCAGATCATTATCCTCTGGTAAAAAAAAAAAAGTGGTGGTTATCAGAGAGACCACATTAAACTAAATTAAATAATCCGACAGTCAGGGGACTGGAAATCCATACAACATGATTCTCCAACAGGATTCAGAACTAACGGAAAAAAAGGGACGACCTGTACAAACATCAGCATGGCTATAAACAGTTGCTCAGGAAATAATGGAAATAAAAAGATTAACTTCACTCGAAGGGAGCAGTGGTGGTTCTAATCCTTTGTGCTTTTAGGACGCAGGCTTTTTAATGAAGGAGCCTCCAGTTTTCAGAGATGCCGTGTTTATTTCAGTTCTACTGATGTGTTGCAGCCTTTGGGAACCTCCGACTCAGGTAACAATCTACTTCCTCAGATAGACTGATGGCCTCAGCTGGCTATACCAATCACTAGCTTAGCTTAAATGGTCAGTCTTTATTTCCTGTCTGGTTCAGCAGCATCAAGAGTAAATAATAGGTAGTTAATCTGGACAGTCAGAAATGGGACCTAAATCAGGAGCTGCACATCCAGTCAGGAATGATAAATAAAGAATAACCCTGTAGAATGAAACTGGATTAATCAGCAGTTCTTGGAAGAAGCCTCCAGTGAATGAAGCAGATGATTTCTTCCTTATGACGTCTGACAGCATCAAGTTATCAAACCAGAAACAGCCTTGGTTTTATATCTGCAATCAGATGTGCTTTGGAACATTCAAACGGTGATTACGACGGTTGTTCTGCAGCCTTTGCAGCCTCTGTTTTAAGGACACATTATGCAACATTTCCTGCTTGGAAATGAAAACAACTTGATGCACGTCTTTCTAAGCTCAACAGAAGATACTGAAAACGTCACTTTGAGGCCAGTAAGGCCTTCTGGGGCCCCCAGGAGAGGCGCGCAGGTGGGTGAAGCTGGAAATGAAGCACAGCTTAATTTTCGCGATCAGGAAGAGCTTCCTACTCCTTCGGAGTTAGATCATCTGCCTGGTCTGCAGGGAGGTGCTGGGAACTATTTGGTTCCATCAGTAATCATCAGAACCTGGGCTCTGGACTCAGAACCAAATCATGTGGGAATGGGTTTGCAGAGGTGGATTAAAGCATGAAATGAAACCAGCAGCAGAACCATGTTAGAGTGAAGGAGGGAGGTCCCTTCTGTCGCTGTCAGTCTGCCTCCTGTGAACTTTGACCCTGACTGCTATATTTATCCCCCACACGTTACCATGACCGCCACTCCACTGCCCTTCACTGCTTCACTCATGGCTGCTAAAAATAGACAGAGCGGAGAGGCGACAGCTGATAATCAGAAATCATAACAAGGACGTCCCCGGTTTCAAACCGACAACCTTCACCTTCCCTTCTGAATAAAAATACAAGAACAGTTAAAAACTAAACAAAAGAACCGAAAGTGATCAGAAAGTTGAAGAACTGAGATCATTTTAAAGGTGACCTTCAAACCTGGTTCAGCTGTGAGCCCAATGTAAACTCTATTTGCACTCTATGTGAGCTCTAAGTGAGCACTATGTGAGCTCTAAGTGAGCACTATGTGAACTCTAAGTGAGCTCTATGTGAGCTCTATGGGAGCTCTATGTGAGCTCTAAGTGAGCTTTTTGTGAGTTCTATGTGAGCTCTATGGGAGCTCTATGTGAGCTATATCTGAGCTCTATGTGTGCTCTATTTGTGCTCTATATGAGCTCTATGTGAGTTCTATGTGAGCTCTATGGGAGTTCTATGTGAGCTCTATGTTAGCTCTATGTGAGCTCTAAGTAAGCTCTGAGTGAGCTCAATCAAAGCTCTATCTGAGCTCTATGTGAGCTTTTTGTGAGTTCTATGTGAGCTCTATCCAAGCCCTATGTGAGCTGTATTTTTCCTCTATCTGAGCTCTATGTGAGCTCTAAGTGAGCTCTATGTAAGCTCAATGTGAGCTCTATGTGAGTTGTATCTGAGCTCTATATGAGCTCTATGTGAGCTCTACGTAAGTTCTATGTGAGCTCTATGTGAGCTCTAAGTTAGATCTATGTGAGCTCTATGTGGGCTCTATCTGAGCTCTTTTTGTGCTCTATGTGAGCTCTGTGTGACTTCTATGTGAGCTCTATTTGTGCTCTATGTGAGCTCAATGTGAGCTCTATCTGAGCTCTATGTAAGGCTCTGTGTGACTTTTATGTGAGCTCTATTTGAGCTCTGTGTGAGCTCTATGTGGGTTCTATATGAGCTCAATGTGAGCTCTATTTGAGCTCTATGTGAGCTCTTTCTGAGTTCTATGCTAGCTCGTTGTGAGTTCTATTTGAGCTATATTTGAGCTCTTTGGGAGTTTTATGTGAGCTCTATGTGAGCTCTCTGTGAGTTCTATGTGGGCTCTATCTTAGCTCTAAGTGAGCTCTATGTAAGCTCAATGTGAGCTCTATGTGAGCTCTAAGTGTGCTCCGTGGGAGCTTTATGTGAGCTGTATCTGAGCTCTATGTGAGCTTTATATTTACTCCATGTGAGCTCTTTGTTTACTCTATGTGAGCTCTATCACACTGATAACACACTGATAACACTGAATCTCAGTATCTATCAAGGTCAGAAGTAAACGTTTAAATTGAAAGGAGCAAATATTTTCTGTGACATGTTGAAACACGTCATTGGTTTATTTCAGGCTGAGTGAGATCTACTTTAGATCATCTCTCTGGGTGCTCGTTGCGTAAAATCTACCCATTGATGTTTCTTTGATGCTTGGTGGTTCCGGTAACCAGATGCAGCCGTTTACTGGTTTATAAGCGGAACCAATGTTCAGGCTGCAGCCTCACCTTTGCCAGCTGAGCATTGATCCAGTTGGTGAAGGTTCTCTTCTGGATTTGCTCCTGTTCCACTGTAAAAAAAAAAGAAAAAAAAAGAAAAACAGCTATAACTTTCTCTCCTGGTCACAGATACTCTGCAGAGTTCAAATGACCACTGCCCCTGATAAGGATTCATTATATTTTCATATTTAATCATTAGGAAAGAATTTCCAGCCTGTGAAAACTTGTCTTGTCAAATGTAAATTGGAGTAAAAAGCAAACATAAAGCTTAGTGTCATCATTCCATGACAGAAAATGTTGTGATGTCATCACAACAAATGAAGACTGTTGAATTGACAGAAATATTTTAGTTCATGTCTACAGCAACATGATGTAAAGGTGAAATACTATAGTTAGATAGTTAGTTACATATTATTTTATTTTAAAACTGGTTTAGCTACAAGAAATAAGTGTGTTTATTTTATAGGACTAGTATGAAATTCATTTTTAACGGAAAAGAAAAAAATTGACTGAATATCATAAAAACATTTGATTATAACAAAGGTTCAAGTTTATGCTGAACATAAAATGTTTCATGTGTTCTAAACCCAAATAATTTTTATTACACTTAATGCACTAAACATTTATCAATTCAGAGTTTAAAGAGTTTAAAATTTAACAGAGTGCAGTTTCTCTTTGTCTGTCTGCTACCTAAGATGTTAAGATCAAAATAATTACAAACAGCAGATTTTGTTATGTTCAATGGAAACCATATATAAATACATTATTTTACTTTTTCCAATTAATAACCCGGTGTAAAAAGTATCTGCTTTGATGTTCATCTGATAAAAGCATTCATGAAAACAAAGCAGCGGCATATTAAAAAGTGGTGATTTACCCAGAATACACTTGGAGAAAATGTCAGCGATCCAATTAAAAAAGTGCGTGTGGTAAAGTTAAATGTGAACATAAAACCAGAACAGCATTTTATTTCCTATTTTGCACCTAATATATGACTACAGTCATATGTCATACAGTAAATTCACTAAATCTGTGTTTCATACAGGAAGATAAATAGTGGTGAACAGCCTCAGCCTTCGAGTGTTATCTGTGAAAACGAGCTAGGTCACTTTTTTTCATGGTTAAACCACAGATTCAACTTCTCAGGAGACCTCAATGTGTTTTTAATTTAAAGGGAAACAATCAGCTTTTCCACAGAAGAAAAGCAGGAAGCTGATAGATGAGGTCTACTAGAGCGACACCAGCTGGAGGAACAGCAGCTGTAATATCTTTATCAGCTCCGTCTGCCAGACGCTCCACCGATATTTGGTGGGAACATTTCCTGCTTTTTGAATCTGAAGCAGATCATCCATCTTTGGTCATTTCCTGATTAAATTAGATTTACCAAACTCAGTAAATTAGTATCTCTTTAATAAGATTAAATTAACCTTTTGTATTTCAAGAAGCCCGCCATGATGTGATGTTAAATGGAAGCAGAAAATGAAAGGCTCAGAAACATCCGTGTGTGTTAATCAGGAACCCAAAGTGCTTTGGCTGCATTCATCCATTCATCCACCAAGCTACGCTGTAGCCACAGCTGCTGCGGGGCACGCTGAAGAAGCTAGGCTGCCAAACACAGGAACCGCCTGTCCTCTGACCACCATCACTAGACAGAGGGGAGAAGTGTCTTCTTCAAGGAGACAACTACAGAGAGGGACTGAGACTGTCCAAGATGGACAGAGACCAACAGATTTACAGAGGCGGACAGAGACTGACAGAGGGGAACTGAGACGCAGAGAGAGGCAGACAGAGACAGAGAGGGATGGAGAGAGACCAGTGAGTTGGACAGTGGTGGACTGAGACAGAGACGAACAGAGATGAAAGGAGGTGATCAGAGTAGGTTTTGACCCAGTGACCCTGTTGCTACAGAACAAACTCCTCCGTCCTTCACCCCTGGACCCCTGGACTCTCTCCATCATTGCTGTTCTGAACCGTTTAAGCAGCAGAGGAGTCCTGGTGGAGTAGCAGCATCAGAGGAACGTGATGCAACCTGGTCTCCATCTCAGCTTTCTGCATGAGTGCCACATATAACAGGCAGACCCAACAATCTCAGAGCAGGACTGATTTGATGTTCTTGGTTCTAGTTATGGATCCAGATTCTATCTGCTGCTTTCTGAAGCTTATCTCTCAATAGGTGACAGTTCTACTCACCCATGATGGAACCGCTCAGCTGAACCTCTTCTGCTGTAAACAGTCAGCAAAGCCTAAAGAAGCTGAAAGCAAACATTGCACCATGTGGGAACATGTTTAACCGTCTGTCAGTAAACACAGCGGCTCCATGTCTGCAGAGCAGCAGCGAACGGAAAGTTGACCTGAAACGTCTTCCTGTTCAACCAGCTAGAAGTCTGGTTCCATTTCTAGCCTGCAGCAGGTGAGCGTACCTGGGCTCCACCTCCTCTGATGCTGACTCACACCTCAGGCTTGTTCAAACATGACCCCAAACCAAGCTAACATCTGGCTGCATCATGGGTGAGTCAGAGATACGAAGCAAACATTCAGAGACTCAGCCCGGTATAACCCCCACTACTGGTCTGAATGGGAAGCTGGGAGGCCTGTTAGATGCATGCTGGAAATTTCACATTGGTGACAGGATGTTTTGTGTAGATAAGCCATGTGGAAGTGGACTGCAGGTGGAGGAGAGATGCTGGCATGTCTCTGTGCTTCTGGGTTTGGAGGTTCTGCTCTTAGAACAGCTCATTGTCCTGGTTTTCACCTCTGCAGCAGCTCCACATCACAGATAAAGTCCTTTAAAAATAATAACCTTTAAGCAGGTATTAAACATTTCCCATTAAGCAATATAAAAATGTTCTAATCTATTAGCATTAAAATCAACATATTGTTATTAAACTGTGCAGCTGGAACAGACTGAGTTTGAAACATCTAGTCTATCAGCAAACATCCCAGTAAATGAGGTTAAACTCTGTCGTCCTGAAGGAGACAAACATCCAGGGGTTCGGATCAGGACACATTCTCCAGGAAAGCCCAGTATTACTGTGAACACCAAACCCAGCATGGACCGAAGGAGGAGGACACTGACCCTGCAGCAGAATCTGGACGTTGTCGATGTCCAAGGGGACGAACCCCCGCTCTGACTGACCATCGCTGAGGTAGAGGTCTGACGACATCCTGTCTGGTCAACAGGCTCCTGAAAGCATGCTGCAGCCCTGCAAGGCACAGAGAGAGGTAGCATGCAGTTAGCATCAAAGAAGAGAGAAACGGAAAAAACAGGAATCCTGACATCGCAATCCGTTCTGCAGCTTTTCCAACAATGATACAAGTCTTTCACTGCATTTCTTTAACAAACTCTGTTTTGAACCAGAAAGCTATGAGGCTCTTCCAGGACGCGGCCCTCGAACCATTTCATAGAAAAGCATCTCCTCTGCAGCTCCAGAAGCCGTACTCCCTCTGATCCAAACTGATCAGCCTGTTTCCCTCAGACCCTGCAGACGATTAGAAACTACAGAACATCTGCAGCTCTGCTTTACTTTAGGGCTTGGATACAATTAAATTCTATTCAGTTTATTACTATGGCGCCAATTCACAACACGTCATCTCTCACTTTACAATTCAATGTCACTTTACAATTCACTAGATCATCCAGTGAGATTGATTCAAAGTTTTCTATCTAAGGAAAACCAGCTGATTGCATTGATTTATTGGCTCACACTAAGCATGCTTGTAGCGACAGTGGAGAGGAAAAACTCCCTTTGAACAGAGAGAAACCTCCAGCAGAACCAGACTCAGTGTGAGCGGCCATCTGCTGAGGCCGACTGGGGTTCAAGGAGACAGAAGCAGACATAGAAAAAGAAGCATAGATACAAAAGGCAACTGTCAAGCAGCTCCATAGGCAGCCAGGAAACACAAAGCCAGGCAGACGAGCTCCGAGCCAGATTCCATGTCAGAGGATGAAGAGAGCACATCCAGTTTGTCACAGTCAGAGAAACAGGACTACACTGAAAAACAGGCCAAGCTACAACATCTATAAAAATATCCATGAGCCCCACGCTGTCTGTCATAGAACTAGAACATCAAGAACGCTCAATGTTTAATGAATCTGATCCTTCAATCAATGATCATTGCTTTGGCCAAAAAGGAAGCTTCATGCTGCTGCTGCATGTAGAGGCAGAACCTTAGTCTGACTACAGCAAAGAGATTGTATCACAGACAGGAAGACACTGAGGTCCACGCCTTTCATTAATGTCAAATAGACAACATTAATATCTGCAAAGCATGAAATCACAGTAGTTCATGCAGACGTGGGGATTAGGTCCGTAAAGGGAACATCTGCCTGGAACCTAGTTAGGATTCTGAAGGTTCTGCCTGCTGCTTTGGACGCCCCATAGCCAGAAAGACTACTCCAACACCTTCAGGTCAGAATAGAAAAGTAGTGGTGCCAGTGGGAGACCCCACACATTGGAGGCGGAGGTAGAATGCAGAACCGACCATAACCTGAGCTTAGATCCGAGAGGAAAGCTCTTTACCACTTGTGGAGTAAAATATGTTGAGATATGTCTTTTCTTAGCCTCACAGGCTCCAAACGGAGGTTATGAGGGATAAGAATGAGGACTGCTGTTTAGAGAAGATCCATAGATCGATATATTAACCTAACAGCAAATAGCCTTGATGAACTCAAGTTGGTTTTCCTCCAAATGTTCAAGTGTGAGAAGGTGGGTGGGTTGGTTCCACTGGGGGGAGTGTGTGTGTTGGGATTTTTGTAAGGTATAAATGTATTTACTGAGGTCTATCTCTCCGTCTGAGGACGTTAAATAAATTGGAACCTTTCTTCCTGCAAGAAATGCCTCTGCCTCATCTTCCTAACTCCACACGCTAAATTCAGATCCTCCATCATGATGTAGCTGAAGCTCTAAGGGGGCATCAGAGAGTGACTGAATGAATCTGGTCCAGATCCCATTACAGGACGCACTGATTCATTCAGTAACAGAGGTTTCAGTCTATCATAGATAATATTAGTAAAATGAAAGCTGCTGTTGTTTAGTAATCCTGTTAACCAGTCTAAAGACTCCTACAGGTCTCAATGGTTTTTATCTACCTCAGATCCAAACACGAAACCGTTTTGGAGGACTCACTGGACCACAATAGCTCAACATGTCAGCCATCCCAGGACTGCCAGCCACAGACTGGTCCCACTCAGACACATTCAGGGAGTTTAGCACTGGAAAACCCACGGGGGAAGGGGAAGGGGAGAGTAAACATCCAGAGTAAACATCCAGAGTGTATCCTCTGGTTTCCAACCAGGTTCAACCTGAGATCTGGTAACACTGGGCTGAAATGGTTCATTGCAGTGATAAAAATTAATCAATATCTCATCTCAAGTCCTTAAACTGGGCTCTCTGACATGGCAGCTGGCTCGGAGCTTGTCTGCCCAGCTGTGTGTTTCCTGGATGGGGCCGCCTCTGGAGCTGGTTGACAGTTGCCTTTTGTATCTAAGATTCTTTTTCTATGTTTGCTTCTGTCTCATTGCTTCTGTCTCATTGAACCCCGATCGGCCTCAGCAGATAATAAAAGGCCGTTTTTCCTCTCCACTGTCGCTACAAGCTTGCTTAGTGTGAGGGATTGCTGAAGAGTCAATGAGTCGATGAAATCAGCTGGTTTTCCTAAGATAGAAAACTTTGAATCAATCTGAGTGGATGATCTGGTGAACTGGAAAGTGCCTTGAGATGACATGTGTTTGGAGTTGAAGTCCTTTTTACCGCCTGTTTCTCAGTCAGCTGGTAAACAACCCTCCCTGAAACCATTAACCTTTAACATGGAGGTGTTCCAATCAGTGCAGAGCCTCACCCTGCATTGCTGAGGAAACGCCCTATCAGCTGCTCTTTGATCAAACCTGCAGGCCGTGCGGCTCAACCTGTCTCTCTGTGCTTTCACTGACACACCTGAGAGAAAAAGACAATAGAACCACTTGACAAGGTCAAGAGGTCAAGGTTAACATGTTTATAAAGCACTTTTCAGAGTGCTTTCCAGGCAAACCAAGCTTTAGATGATGGTTTTACTGCTGTTAGTCTGTGTGGCTGACCAAAGGCGACCAAAGGAGCGTCTAATTTAAGAGTTGAAAAAATATGATTCACAGCTGATTCTGCTTACGAGATATAATCACACCCTGTTCATTAGCTTAACAAGCGGGAAAACTGGATATGCAGGCCTGAAGTCACGGTATGTGGCTGAGTGGAAGGCTGACTTTAAAAGGGAGAGCGGCTTCAGACGCTGCAGCACTAACAGCTAAACATCATAAGAGCATGAGAGGGTTAATGTGCAGCACTTCATCAGCAGTCATCTATGAGAGGGTTAATGTGCAGCAATTCATCAGCAGTCATCTATGAGAGGGTTAATGTGCAGCAATTCATCAGCAGTCATCTATGAGAGGGTTAATATGCAGCAATTCATCAACAG